TCTTTCATTTATCATTCCACTCAGACATATGAAACATCTATATTTTCGGCATAGCTTCCCCTGAAGGGGGAGAGAGAGGACTGGAATAGCAGAGTTTAATGCAGGTCAGAAATGAAATATATTGATCTAGCTATGACAAAACCCAGAGCTATGACACACAGTTATGAGAGAGAGGTTCTAGGGGTTTGGAATTAAGGAGGCATAGCAGAGTTTGGGATTAGGGGGCAGACTGACCCTAACCGAATTCTTACCAGTGCTATTGGCCCTTTGTCTTCATGAGCGATTTAGCAGACTGAATTTAACAAAAAGGAGCATCTCCAACCTCTGTGCATAAAACTAGACTTGGAAGGATTAGATTTTTATCAATAAATGTCAGTAAACATCGATTTCACCTTACACACACAAACCAACAGAAAAATATTTCCATCAATAATAACTGAAATTTGCAGGTAGGCAAAGTGAGAAAAGTACTGCTTGAGAACTTCTTAGAGTGAAAATCCAACGATCTAGACTTTTGAATTAGCCTTATCGCAAATGGACTAGGACAGTGGTTCTTAACCCAGAGGATGTGTACCCCTCGGGGGTACATAGAGGTCTACCTGGGAGTACATCAACTCATCTAGATATTTGCAACAGGCTACATAAAAAACACTAGTGAAATCAGTACAAACTAAAATTTAATACAGACAATGACTGGTTTATACTGCTTTATATATTTTACACTGAAATATAAGTACGATATTTATATTCCAATTGATTTATTTTATAATTATATGGAAAAAATGAGAAAATCAGCAATTTTTCAGTAATAGTGTGCTGTGACACTTTGTATTTTTATGTCTGATTTTGTAAGCAAGTAGTTTTTAAGTGAGGTGTAACTTGGGGTACACAAGATAAATCGGACTCCCAAAGGGGTACAGTAGTCTGGAAAGGTTCAGGACCACTGGACTAGGGAATGAATAGTAAAAAAAGGTATGATTTGTTGATTTAAGGATACTTGCTTTGTATATTTTGACATGTGATATTGACAATTTTTGCTTTAATGGTTCATAAAAAATTTTCTTTTTGAATCTCAAAGTCTACAGTTATTACATAATTGTCTGATATTCCCATAATTCCCACAACTGTGAAATTTTAAATAAAAATCTAATTATCCAAAAAGAAAAATGGAGTTCTGCCAACCCTACATATAACTAGCCCTTAATAACAGTCCTGTGAGAGCAGTTTCTGAGACTGATGCAAGGATAACTACTGCAAAAGACAGAAGGACACAGTCTGCCTGGAGCTTTGAGAGCTTTCCAGTTACCTTTCATTATATCACCACCACTTACTTTGCAAAGCACTGTTATCACTCATCACCATACCCTAATGCTGAGACAGGAAACCTTTAATCCATCTCCCCTGTTGGATGAAACCTTCTCAGCACTCAGTTGCAAGATGAGATCGATCCTGGATCCCAGTTAGAGAACAGTAATCAAATAATGCATTGCCACCTCATTATTATCCAACTTCCATAGCCCACTACAAGACCCAGGCCTCTTATACTCTGTGTCCTTCATTATGCTGAACTGTTAGGGCAGGAACCTCCCCACATTGGGTCAGTACAGAGCTGGCACATGTATGATCAGCTTGTATCTCTCAGGGACTGTTGTCCTCGATGGCAGGATTCAGAGGTTCTTTTCTGAGCTTTCACTGGTCATTCACGAGCTTTAGAGTGTGCTGAAGGTGTCAGACTAAAGTATATGTTCATCCCAATATTTATTTCATGTCTGATACTTGTTGTGTCCCAGGTCACCAGGAGACTTTGATTAATACACAAAGGGCTTGATTTACCAAGAGCCCTCCAGTTTGTCAGATACAATTATTTACTGGTATAAATGCTACCACTCAGGCATCTGATTACCCATTTGCCCCTACCGTAAGGCATCTAAATGGCACAAAACTGGAGGCCAACCTTTAGGCCATTTTAAAAGTGAGGGCTTAAGGCTTGATGTTAAGATAAAGAACTAGCAGTTTTACTGAATGTTTCCCACTTTGCTGGAGGTCTGAGCAGAACTGCCTAATGCTCCCAAAGTGACTACTGCAGCAAGCACTGACTTTAGGGTTACCATATCTAACAAATAAAAAAAGAGGACTCTCCACGGGCCCTGGCCCCGCCCATTTCCCCAGCCCCAGCCCCGCCCCAACTCCGCCCCTTCCTGCCCTAACTCCGCCCCCTCCTCCCTCCCACTCCCAGCCACGCGGAAAGGGCTGCCCGAGCGCTACCGGCTTCACAGTTTGCCGGGCAGCCCCCAGACCCTGCGCCCCCGGCCGGCGCTTCCCCAGGAAGGG